GTGGTTAGTTACTGTTAAAAAGATCCCGAGTGAAGTGAGATTTAATATATAATTGTTACCTTTCTTTTTCATCTTTACAAAATGCAATTTTACTTGAAAAAATCTTGTTTACCCGTTGGTGAGTGAGTGCGTTTATTTGTGGTTCATTTTTGTCCAGTAACAGCGGCCAAAACTTTAGAGATTTTCGTTTCAAATATTTTTTTGCGAGTAGATGATGGACCCAGAAATAACTGAATTGATTTTCAGTGCAACCACTAGGGTGGTTGATTCTTAATTCTTTACACATAATAATTGCTATCTTCTCCTATACCACTCCTAACAATGAGGATATTTCGGTATTACATAGAATAATAATCAGGGATGTGCATGGGCACTTAGGAGTTCTGTGCGAATTGAGGTTGGGCTGTCTCTTAGTGTGGTTGATTCTGGTTTTTCACATTGTTATTATTGGTATTTTCACACAATTTTCGAAATATTTGCTTCTTATGATTGTCAAACTAACAAAACGATTCGTTGGACTAAGATACAGCGTATTGGCATTTTCATTGTGGGATGTTGAACCTCAACGCATGAAGCCACATGATAGTTATCGAGTACATTATCTGAATGTAACAGCCACATGTTATGCTTAGTAGATGATTGAAAACTAGTGGTGATTATGCTCTTAATCATGTAAAATTGCATAAAAAACTATTCTGTGGACTGCCACCACAAATGCTATGAAATGAAAACCGTTTTACGTATTATTTTGTAACTTACAAAGATGGTTCTTAAGTTTAATATACAGCTCAAATTTGAAAATCAGCTTAATTGGATTTTATTTTCTTGAATTTTTGCAATTTTTTTATTCCGAAATTTTCAATGTGTAAACCTGAACTCTCATAGTCCTGAAGTCTTGTGTCAGTTACATATTCCTGATATCCGTGTTACCTCTTTTGCATAATTAAAATTTGGAGTTAATTGTGCTCTTAAGCATAATGTTTGATTGCATCACAATTGACAAAATAACCTATTTTGTGCATTATTATGTTCTCCTTTTTGTCTGTACAGTTGACAGATTTGCTGCCTAGTTATAGTTTCATTCCTTGTTTTTTTCTACTTCAATGTTTATGCTTGCCTATCTTTTCCTAGTTTTCCTATCCGTGTTTCCTTTAAAGTTCAGATCACTTGGGGGCAAGCAGTGTCCTTTATTGAACCATTCTGCCAGCTTCCCCTTGGCGTACCACGTGACCGGTTCGCTGGGATCGTTCAGCTTTGCACACAGTTCGCAATACGACTTAAGACGTAAATCTACATGGTAAACACTTTTCCACTCCAAGTATTTTACATACGCCGTGACATTGTTCGCTAGATAATGAAGATAAAGTGCCAGATCCTTCGGTGACTTGAAATCATTTGTGGAAATGTGCCAACTTGGTTGTATTCCTACTCTGGAGTAATTTGCCGGACTTCTGCAGTTTGTCCTGCAGTTTTCCAAAATTTGTCTGATATGTAGTCCGTCGAGATGCTATTTTCGAATGAGAGATAGAATCGGTATTCTTTTTCATTTTAGCTTCACATTTTTCATTTTCTCTTTTTGAGCATTTTAAAGGACCACAATTTCCGTAAATATCCACTTTGATGTACTTCTGCAACTTTCTGACGTAATCCTCTCGTCTGCTCTGAGTATTACAATTACTGACAAACCAAGCCACCATTTTGGTTTTCTTCAATGTGATTTCCGTAAAGTTTTTGATCAAAGGTTTTTCCCGTTTTTTTAGATAAAAAACCACGGTGCAAAAATATCCGAATCCCTCCGAAATGTCATCGTCCAATTAAACATTCCCGCCCAAACTCCGCCATTTTCGCCGGAGTTACACGAGCTCTCGTGCGTCACCCACACCCAGCGCTGGTGAGGCAGTTTTTTCGGTTTCCTTCCCAAACTTCTGGCTATAAAAACAATAGCGTCGCTTTTATCAGCCAAAGACTTATCCTCAGTGTAGATACAGTTACTGATTGGGCAGCCCAAGCTCTTAAACTCCGGTTTTTTATAAGTTCTAAGTGTCATATAGTCCATGCCGGGCACTGGAGTCCAAGACAGGACAAGTTTGGGTTTACCGGAAACAGGCAAAGTCGTCTGCATAGAGTTTATTTTTGGTTTTTGTGTTTCACGAAGATCGGTTTGATTCAACTGTTTCTCAAGCACGCCGGCCTTAGCCTGGTTCTTTTAGTTCGTGGGTATTTTTGGTTTAGGTGCTTTTTTCCAATCTTCACTGGAATACGATGCGCTGTTTTGCGGACGTTTGTTGCAAGCAGTAGTTAATTTAGGGAAGTTGACAGTCCATTTTACCGGCTGTCAATAGACGTTCCTCTTTGAATACAAATCCGTAGTTATAAAAAATATAAGCAATGAACCCATAGAGAGGAAAATAATCACATATAGGCCTAGCAGTGAAGCCTTGCACGTGTTAACGGGGTGAGACAGCCCTCTTGTGGTGTCAACCCTAATTCCTGCTTCCTTTTCCATTTGTCCTCAATACTTGGGGAACCCATAGATTGCCGCACAGATAACAGGCATTGTATTCACACCAAGTACAAAATGTAACATAGGAAAGCTGAACACACGACAAGAAACAGTTCAATCTCCCAGTTATAAGTGTCTTGTTTCAATGAAATCCGCCACTATGTGCTACATGTATGATTGAATACTGGAGATTGTCTTCACGTCGTACTTGTCCAAAGAATGAACGTTGTTACAGAATACTGATATTACTTCTTAAAAGTCGGAACTGTGCATGTGACGTATCTGAAAAAAATGTTCAGGCCCCGTCTACCGGAAATGTCCAGGCCCCGTCTACTGGAATGTCCAGATCTTTCTACCGGTAATGTCCAGGCCCCGTCTACCGGAAATATCCAGGCCCTGTCTACCGGAAATGTCTAGGCCCTGTCTACCGGAAATGCCCAGCCAACGTCTATCAGAAATGTCCAGTCCCCGTCTACCGGAAATGTCCAGGCCCGTCTATCAGAAATGCCCAGCCAACGTCTACCGAAAATGCCCAGCCAACGTCTATCAGAAATGTCCAACCCCGTCTACCGGAATGTCCAGGCCCCGTCTACCAGAAATGTCCAGGCCCGTCTACCGGAAATGTCCAGTCCCCGTCTACCGGAAATGGCCAGCCAACGTCTATCAGAAATGTCCAGGCCCCGTCTACCGGAAATGTCCAACCCCGTCTACCGGAAATGTCTAGTCCCCGTCTACCGGAAATGTCCAACCCCGTCTACCGGAAATGTCCAGTCCCCGTCTACCGGAATGTCCAGGCCCCGTCTACCAGAAATGTCCAGGCCCGTCTACCAGAAATGTCCAGTCCCCGTCTACCGGAAATGCCCAGCCAACGTCTACCGTAAATGTCCAGTCCCCGTCTACCGGAAATATCCAGGCCCCGTCTACCGGAAATGTCCAGGCCCCGTCTACCGGAAATGTCCAACCCCGTCTACCGGAACTTCCAGTACATTTGCAGTGCAGGCATGTCAACTGAAATAAAGGAGAGAGCAACTTAAAACAAATTCCACTCATAGGGACTCATTAACGCCGCCCAAACGAAAGCATACTCAGGGTATAATTTTTAAATTTTGATTAAAAAAATAAGAATAATAACCAAAGAAAATGCCTTCAGGTAGCTTGTACTTTGTACGGGTTAAATCAACCATCACCATGTTATCTTTCACGTACCTACACACACATCTCGGTTTACCTGGAGGTACATGTAAACGGTGTCATGTACCAAAAAGCTTCGAAAAATATAATGTAAAAATATCATGGAATATGCTTCACCTATGTTGCAAGATATTGTGTGCATAACTCTGTTAAAAATAACATTATTAATAAACATTCAAAAAGCTGCCTCTTTTAAAATGAAATTCTGCAATGGTTTTTGCCTGTTAACTTTGTTTTAGTATGTGTTTTACACGAGGAGCAGACGGCAGATTATGACTGATGGCTTCTTGGACTGCATTCCTCATGACTGAAAACTGAAAGTTTCCATATAACGTAAGACAGGACAGGACATGGCATAGCATTCAACTTGCCAGTCAGCGGACAGCCAGCTGACCTTACTTTGCATACAAATACAGGAATTGCTTGTCATAATAGGACTAGGCTTTAAATAAACAATATGAGATGTCAACAACACTGTAATTTTAATCACCAATCTAAAACTGTATCAGTAGCATTACATCATTTATCTTCGTACGCCGATTAAATTCTTAAAATTGTGTAGCATGATTTAATCACCGGGAAAATATCTAAAACTACTCAAAGACGTCCCTTGACTGCAATCTTAATTGATTTAACATGTTTAAAAAATAAACACTCTATGTCCATCTGAATACATAAAAGTGTCTGTTTGGCGTCTTTTTCTACGTTTAAAATTCAAGTCTTTGGGTTCTATACAGTGACCCTTGTTAAACCAGTTGGCCAGCGTTCCTGGCTGGAACCACGTGACTGGCCCACTGGGGTCGTTTCACTTGGCGCAGAGGTCGCAGTACGCCTTCAGTCGGTTCCCTGTGGTGAACCGATTCTTCCACTCTAAATATTGAACATACGCCGTCACATTTCTATCTAAATATTTCAGATAGGCTGCTTAATCTTTTGGAGATTTAAAATCGTTCGTGTTGATGTGCCATTCGGGTTTTATTCCAACCCTTGAATAATTGGCCGGACCTCTTGTTACCTTCACGATGTCACGTTCGTGTAGTGTTCACAAATATAATTAAAGACAGTAATTAAAAACGGACACACAGACAGACAAACACGCGACAGGTGTACTTTTGGACTTTTCGATTATGCGAGAGGACAATTAAACGTCGTGACGGGTGATGAAGGAAGGAGGCTCATATGGCGTGGTGAAAACAGGTAAGTTTATCTCGAAGTGAGGTTGGAGACCCAGTATTTATTTTTTAAGGTTATCCTTCTCTAAGTAATAGGAGCAGAAGATCTGGTACGTTCCTAGGGACATTAGTACTGCTTGTTAATTTAGGTCCGCAAATGGATAAATGCAAGTAAGACCAGATGTTTTATTATTTATTTAAAATGGTTCCCTGCTCCCGTATGGGAGTGAAAAAATTCTGGTATGTTCCTAGCGACGTAGGGCTGCTTGTTAATTTAGGTCCACCGATGGATAAATGCAAGTTAGACCAGATAATTTCTCTAAGGGTACCATGCTCCACGTTGGAGTGTCGGGACTGGTATTTTAGACCAGGTATTTTTTATGTTGATGCCTGCCCACGAAGGGTTAGGTGGCAGAACGGTGTTCTGTGGGAACTGGGTAGATATTCTTTTCTTGCTAATATCTTGCTGTTGTTTGAGTAACCAGCCATGATGATCGATTTGACGGGTGCCCTGTGACTTCGGAAACATACAGAGTCTTGCTTGCAATATGGGCCAGATATTGCGGGCAGACAGACCATGACCGTACTGGTAGCTCACATAGTTTTATCTGCAGCATATGGCCAAGTGTTGCTGATGAGGCAGGCCGAGACGGCGCTGGTGGCTTGATACGGTCGTGACGGTGCTGGTAGCTTGATTAGGTCTAACTGTGGGTTTTCCTGTTGTCTGGGATGATAGGTAGTGTTTTTCCTCTTCATATTAGCCCTAATTGACTTTGTTTATTATTATTATTATGGTGGCGAGCTTGTATTGGAAATGTTTTCCCAAGAATAAATGCTTATATTAATGCTTAAAAGGAGTAATGGTATATGTATGTTGAACGTAGATTAAATAAAGTGGGATTTAAGAAAAAAAAAAAAAACGATGAAACTTTATTATAACGAAGAAAGTTTATTTTCCCTTGTGTCTCGTTTTAGGTGACAGTGAATGGTCCCTGCATCGCCGTGCCTGTGTCATCGCCTCCGACCCGCCGCCTGCCACGTATCCAAGGTTGAGGGTTTCCAGCGCTTCGATCCATTAGACCTATCAGTCCTGCGTACTGGAGCCCAAATACTCAACAGCCGAGAGTGGTGGACCCCGCTGTTTTGCTGATGATTCCATTGAAAGATTAAACACTAAAAGACTCAAACCAATATCAAAGACTTTAAAATATAAGGCGCTCAATTGCCCGGTTTCCAGAGCTATTTTTTTCCCTAAATTGATAAAGAAAGATATGAATTAAAGGGTTTTATCTCTGGTTTTCCTCCGGGCCTGTCTGTAACGTGTTCTTTTATTAACGTGCTTCGCTTTGTATAAATGTTGCAAATATAATGTAGAGTGAATGTCTCCAACGTGGTAAATGAAAAAAAAATGTATTTTTTTTCTGGTAAAAAGGGAAGGCGTGTAGTGTTCACAAATATAATTCCCAGACATGTAAATTAATTTGATTAGAGTCGATTGCTTGTGCACTCGACTCGTTTTATGGCCTTACCTGTAGTCATGTAACTTAAGTGGACGTGTGCAATTTGAATAATTAAAATTAGTATGTACCGCCAAATACTGCAGCACAGAATCCACCTATAGATACGAAATACGTATAAAAGACGTGTAGAAATAATATTGGAGGTCAGACTGAAGAAGACTCGAAGGTGACCGCTCGACGGAGCCATGGGAGACGGCCTGGAGCTTGGAGATTTCACGTAGATGATGTAGTTAGACAGAGTCAACCAATAAACCATTAAACTGGTCATTATGTGGACTTGGGTTTTCTTTGCGCGACTTTGCGTAAATCTGACACGAACCGGGGAATCTTTGGATCGCGTTATCCACTAAGTAAGTCTAAAACGTAATGTCCTATTTCGAGCCCACGCTTGAATTAAGCGTACAAAATTATATAAGTTTAGGACATTCATCTCATATGTATATGTAAAGGTACATAACAGATCCAACATTTTCCAAAATTTCTCTGTGACGTAATCAGTTGAGATACTATTTTCAAAGGACAGGTAAAACTTGTAGTCCCTGTTAATGTTCTCCAGGCATCTTTCGTTGTCCCGTTTGGAACATTTTAACGGACCACACCCACCGTACACGTCAACGGGGATGTGCTTCTTCAACTCTGCGACGTACCCTCTCGATTACTCTTAGTGTGACAGTTACTGACCATCCAAGCCACTAACTTCGTCTTCTTCAGTGCTATTGCCGTGAAATTCTTGGCAAGGGGTTTTTCCCGCTCCACAACAAACTGATACGGTGTAAAAATTGTGGAATCTCGCCGAAATGTCATCGTCCAATTAAACATTCCCGCCCAAGCACCACCGGCTTCCCCGGAGTAACACGAGCTCTCGTGCGTCACCCACACCCAGCGCTGGTGAGGCAGTTTTTTAGGTTTCCTACCCAAACTTCTGGCTATAAAAACAATAGCGTCGCTTTTATCAGCCAAAGACTTATCCTCAGTGTAGATACAGTTGTCTATTTTACAGCCAAGGGATTTAAAGACCGGCTTGGCGTAGTCTCTGAGGTGCATGTAGTCCCACCCGGGCCCCGGGGTCCAGGACAGGATCAGCTTAGGCTTGCCGGGCGGGCCACGGGTGACCTTCGTATCAGGATACGTAGTGGTTTGGCTTTCCTTTGTCACAACCTTTGGTGCAGGAATTGGGTAACGCACAGGTATCTGCTTTAAAGAGTAGACATCCGACAGTTTTATAAGAATAAATAACGTGGATATCGCAAAAAAGATAGCTATGGACCTGATCATTGTTCTGCATAGTTTTCCGGCACTGCATGCGTCGTTTTTTATACTTCGTGAGGATACTTTCCCAATAGCTTGCTCCTCCATAGCGATGTTGTTAGCTTTCTACAACGACAACGCTTGATTTATAACTTGTGCAGCACTGAACGCCAGGAGACACCTGAAAGATACAATACACAGTTATACTGGTAGGCCTCTTAATGCACACAATGTCACGGGATGAGTATCGCTTTTGTTACAAACATATAAACCGTAGTTTAGGAAAGATAAAGTGTAAATAGGACGAGATAATGGATAGCTAACGAGGGCGCCCGTAGAAATTACAATATTTTTATATAAAATTAGAGTTATCATCATTTTCTTCCTACTTGTTTACAGTTGTTTTTGATAATTTCCTGTACAGTGTCACTTGGTGGCGTTATGTCCGTAAAGTCCGTAAACTTTCAGCGTTACATTATCAGGTAAAAAGGCCTTTAATGTTTGAATCACAGTGCTCCACACCGCCACCAACCTTTGGTATTTTACTTACAAAGCGGTAAAATATGCCCAGTTTTATGGCTTGTCTTAATTGTCCAAAAAATTCCCCAAATCAAGTTCTACCCTTCTCCCTCTTCGGGAAGAAAGAAACTGATCTCAGACGTTTGGGACCAAGGTCTTTATTGGAAACAGAAGGAGGGGTAGCAATTTTGGCCCGCGTTGCACTTCTTCTTAGAGATCAGTGTTTCTGTTCTGTTCAGCCACATACGGCTCGAGTCAAGTTTTTTTTTTTTTTTTTTTTTTTTTTTTTTTTTTTTTTNTTTAAGTGTCATATAGTCCATGCCCGGCACAGGAGTCCAAGACAGGACAAGTTTGGGTTTACCGGAAACAGGCGAAGTCGCCTGCGTAGAGTTTATTTTTGGTTTTTCTGTTCCATGCAGATCGGTTTGATTCAACTGTTCCTCAATCACGCCGGCCTTGGCTTGGTTCTTTTGGTTCGTGGGTATTTTTGGTTTAGGTTCTTTTTTCCGATCTTCACTGGAATACGATGTGCTGTTTTGTGAAGGTTTGTTGTAAGCAGTAGTTAATTTAGGGAAGTTGACAGTCCATTTTACCGGCTGTAAATAGACGTTCCTCTTTGAATACAAATCCGTAGTTATAAAATACATTAGCAATGAACCCATAGAGAGGAAAATAATCACATATAGCAGTGAAGCCTTACACGTGTTAACGGGGTGAGACAGCCCTCTTGTGGTGTCCACCCTAATTCCTGCTTCCTTTTCCATTTGTCCTCAATACTTGGGTCACCCACAGATTGCCGCACAGATAACAGGCATTGTATTCACACCAAGTACAAAATATTACATAGGACAACTGAACACACGGCAAGAAGCAGTTCAATCCCCCAGTTATAAGTGTCTTGTTTCTTTAAAACCCGCCACTATGTGCTACATGTGTGATTGAATAACTGAGATTGTCTTTACGTCGTCCTTGTCCATATATTGAACGTTGTTACGGAATACTGATATTACTTCCTACAGGTTTTAACTGTGCATGTGACGTATCTGAAAAAATGTCCAGTCCCCGTCTACCGGATATGTCCAGATCTTTCTACCGGTAATGTCCAGTCCTGTTTTTTTTACCGGAAATGTCTAGGCCCCGTCTACCGGTACTTCCACTACATTTGCAGTGCAGGCATGTCAACTGAAATAAAGGAGAGAGCAACTTAAAACAAAGTCCACTCATAGGGATTCATTAACGCCGCCCAAACGAAAGCATACTCAAGGTAGAATTTTTATATTTTGATTAAAAAAATAATAATAATAACCAAAAATAATGCCTTCGGGTACCTTGTAATTTGTACGGGTTAAATCAACCATCACCATGTTATCTTACACGTACCTACACACACATCTCGTATGCTTTGTGTCGCCTGGAGGTAAACGGGGTCGTGTACCAAAATGCTTCGAAGAATATGATGTATAAAATATCATGGAATATGCTTCAACTATGTTGCAAGATATTGTGTGCGTTACTCTGTTAAAAATTACATTATTAATAAACAAATAAAGAGCCGTCTCTTTTGAAAGGGAAATTCTGCAATGGTTTTTTCCTGTTAACTTTCGTTTAGTATGTGTTTTACACGAGGGGCGGACAGCAGATTATGACTGCTGGCTTCTTGGGCTACATTCCTCATGACTGAAAACAAGTCTCCATAAAACTTAAAGGGATAATAACTCTTCGTATGAGGTCTATATTTCACAATAAAAAACATTGTGAACAACTCACAGAAATATAATTATAGCTATTATTAAAGTTATAGGTATTATTCTGATATCTGAGCCTGTCTTTAGACCACGTGACCTCCATTGATGGCTTTACTCTCTTATAATCTCTTAAGGGATTATAACAAAATTAAAAAAAAACAAACTTTTTATATATTTAAAAAATAATAATAATAATAAAAAAAACAGGGACTAACTTGGAATGTAAAAATGGATTCATTATTCATTGCTAAATATGGGAAAATTGTTTAATTCATTTTTTGGCCAAAACAAAGAGTTATTGTCCCTTTAAGACGGCAGAACATGGCATGACATTCAACTTGCCACTTAGCGGACAGCCAGCTGACCATATTTTGCATACAATTACAGGAGTTGGTTGTAAAAATAGAACTAGGCTTTAAATAAACAATATTGTAATTTTTAATCACCAATCTAAAACTGTATCAGTAGCATTACATCATTTATCTTCGTACGCCGATTAAATTCTTAAAATTGTGTAGCATGATTTAATCACCGGGAAAATATCTAAAACTACTCAAACACGTCCCTTGACTGCAGTCTAAACAATTGACTTAGCATGTTAAAAAAAATAAGCACCCCATGTCCATCTTAATATATAAAAGTGTCTGTTTGGCGTCTTTTTCTACGTTTAAAATTCAAGTCTTTGGGTGCTATACAGTGACCCTTGTTAAACCAGTTGGCCAGCGTCCCTGGCCGGAACCACGTGACTGGCTCACTGGGGTCGTTTAACTTGGCGCAGAGGTCGCAGTACGCCTTCAGTCGGTTCCCTGTGGTGTACTGATTCTTCCACTCTAAATATTGAACATAAGCCGTCACGTTTTTGTCTAAATATTTCAGGTAGGCTGCTAAATCTTTTGGAGATTTAAAGTCGTTTGTGTTGATGTGCCATTCGGGTTTTATTCCAACCCTGGAATAATTGGCCGGACCTCTTGTTACCGTCACTATGTCACGATCCAACATTTTCCAAAATTTCTCTGTGACGTAATCCGTTGAAATACTATTCTCAAAGGACAGGTAAAACTTGTAGTCCCTATTAATGTTCTCCAGGCATCTTTCGTTGTCCCGTTTGGAACATTTTAACGGACCACACCCACCGTACACGTCAACGGGGATAAGCTTCTTCAACTCTGCGACATATCTCTCTCGATTACTCTTAGTGTGACAGTTACTGACCATCCAAGCTACTGACTTCGTCTTCTTCAGTGCTATTGCCGTGAAATTCTTGGCAAGGGGTTTTTCCCGCTCCACAACAAACTGATACGGTGTAAAAATTGTGGAATCTCGCCGAAATGTCATCGTCCAATTAAACATTCCCGCCCAAGCACCACCGGCTTCCCCGGAGTAGCACGAGCTCTCGTGCGTCACCCACACCCAGCGCTGGTGAGGCAGTTTTTTAGGTTTCCTTCCCAAACTTCTGGCTATAAAAACAATAGCGTCGCTTTTATCAGCCAAAGACTTATCCTCAGTGTAGATACAGTTGTCTATTTTACAGCCAAGGGATTTAAAGACCGGCTTGGCGTAGTCTCTGAGGTGCATGTAGTCCCACCCGGGTCCAGGGGTCCAGGACAGGATCAGCTTAGGCTTGCCGGGCGGGCCAAGAGTTACCTTCGTATCAGGATACGTAGTGGTTTGGCTTTCCTTAGTCACAACCTTTGCAGCAGGAATTGGGTAACGCACAGGTATCTGCTTTAAAGAGTAGACATCCGACAGTTTTATAAGAATAAATAACGTGGATATCGCAAAAAAGATAGCTATGGACCTGATCATTGTTCTGCATAGTTTTCCGGCACTGCATGAGTCGTTTTTTATACTTCGTGAGGATACTTTCCCAATAGCTTGCTCCTCCATAGCGATGTTGTTAGCTTTCTACAACGACAACGCTTGATTTATAACTTGTGCAGCACTGAACGCCAGGAGACACCTGAAAGATACAATACACAGTTATACTGGTAGGCCTCTTAATGCACACAATGTCACAGGATGAGTATTGCTTTTGTTACAAACATATAAACCGTAGTTTAGGAAAGATACAGTGTAAATAGGACGAGATAATGGATAGCTAACGATACAATATTTTTATATAAAATTAGAGTTATCATCATTTTCTTCCTACTTGTTTACAGTTGTTTTTGATAATTTGCTGTACAGTGTCACTTGGTGGCGTTATGTCCATATAGTCCGTAAACTTTCAGCGTTATATTATCAGGTAAAAAGGTCTTTAATGTTTGAATCACAGTGCTCCACACCGCCACCAACCTTTGGTATTTTACTTACAAAGCGGTAAAATATGCCCAGTTTTATGGCTTGTCTTAATTGTCCAAAAAATTCCCCAAATCAAGTTCTACCCTTCTCCCTCTTCGGGAAGAAAAAACTGATCTCAGGCGTTTGGGACCAAGGTCTTTATTGGAAACAGAAGGAGGGGTAGCAATTTTGGCCCGTGCTGCACTTGTTCTTAGAGATCAGTGTTTCTGTTCTGTTCAGCCACATCCGGCTCAAGTTTTTTTTTTTTTTTTTTTTTTTTTTTTTTTTTTAAAGCTTGCAGCGTTTTTATCCTCAAAAATGCATCATTGCAAGTAGTAATTCCGTAACAGTAAAAGCGTGGTCAATTTTGCGTATTTAATGTTCTTTTCCGCACACTACAGTTGAAAGACTGTAGTGCAACGTGAGCGTCATTAGTAACAACACTGCAACTCAAATAACGTGTACGTGTTATAAACATTTAATCTTCACATTTCATACTCGCTATACATTCCACTGCAACATTAGTTATTGTTAATGTTGGGGTTACTGGTGCAGATGTTTCTAATAACGCCACTCATTAAATATCACATCTATTTCATACAAAAACACAATTGAAAACTAACCTCCAGCAGAATATAAGCGCCACCAAACTCCCCTCTGAACTTGACCTCCTAATCCTCGTCAGCTGACCTATCATGTGACCTGTTCGAGATTCGTGCATATTTATATAATTTATTAATTATTACTATTATTTTTTTTGTTGTTATTGTTGTTGTTGTTGTTAAAAATAGTTAGCAGAGGAGCTTACAGGATCTTTTTTTAAAGTTACCACACTTGGTAAAGTTTTCCTTTTACATTTATGTTTTGATAAAACTTCGAAGCAAACGTTGTTTCTAAATCGGCCACGAACTGGCCAAGCTTTCCGATAGTCTACATATACTTATATAGGCTATTCACTCAGATTGCGAGATGGGGAGCTAATCAGTTGACTTGACAGAACCGCACCTGGGAAATCAGTTTAAGCTAAAATTACTTCAATCTCCAAAATAACTTCAATCTCCAAAATTGTAATTGTATTATTATTATTATTATTAATGTTATGACAAGTATTTCCACGTAGGGACTCACCCATAAGCATGACACCTGTTTGAAGTGCACCCCCCCTTCGGTTTCTGTAAAAATATATCACACCAATATTCCCCTTTTGAAACTAAAATTTTGTCTGGCTAAATCATAGTTCCAACCCTTACCAAAGGAAACCATTTGCTCTCTAAAACACCAAAAAATTTTTAGGACCCTTGAGCAGGCCCCTAACCCCACAATAACGGGGTAGTCCGCTAGGAACTGTAGTCCGTTCCCCATTAATTTGTACAGGTGTGACGGTGTATAATGGTGTATAATATATATGTAAATCTGACCATAGGCGTAGGAGTTACAGTAGGAGGGGGCTTGGGGAGGGGGGGTACAGCCATATTTGGACCCACACCCTGTCCACCTTTTTAAGCACAATTGTGTACTTAAATCGGTGAAATAAAACTGCCAGCAAAAATAACTCCATTCAAGCGATTTCCAATATTAAATATCCCTCGCCGCCATTTTATATTAATGTTTACCCCCCCCTTTCCTACGCGTCTGCTTATTTAGTAGAGCAGGGATTGCTTTTGATATTGACTTGATATCATTTGAACAGCAACAATTCAGTAATACCCACGCATCAATAACTCTCTAATCAGCTCTATATATACAGGGTATGCCATTTCAGCGTAATCTTGAAGGGTGCTGTTTTTCTATATAATAAGTACTGTAGTTGGAGGCTTATACTGGTAACCAGTGTGTATTGATCATGACAACCATAACAACCGTTATATACGTCTCCATGGATATAGACCTGAGTACAGTAGTAGACACAGTCCCTATATAGTCAGACATTTACACCTCAAGTATCTCACTTATTGTGTTTGTTAGTTAGGTTAAAAACAGGATTGCGACTACCAATGCCTACCTGTGTATTTGTAAATAAACGGACCCCGCCCTACGCGAACGCGACGATAATCCATGCGTAACAGTTACTTCATAAAACCTTTTAAAACCCCCGAATATGTCGAAAAGCAATGCGGCAGAAGGAAAATAAGACTTGGCGCCGCAGCCCTGGTCTTAAAAGCCACTCTGTCCATCAGAAACGCCGAGGAACGTCCCCTAGCGTTCTTCTGTGAAGACCTTACCTTCAGCGAGTGAGGTAATTAAGTCTACAAGACAGCGGGTTTAAAATCGTTATAAACCTCGGCTATCCAATGTTTTCGTCGTGATATGGGTTCTGCCAGTTTGCCGCTGACCCCAGAGTGAACACTATGTCTCTGGGCAGATGATGCGGTCACCACAGTGAATATATCATCTTTATGGAGAAATCCTCTCTTAGCCAAAATTCCCTACCTCATATAAACTGCACTCACCATACATTTCGTACCGCTCTGCAATAATACAACTAGAACTACTTTACGTGTACTTGTGGACAATATTGACAAACTCCCCTGCTTGTTAAGCTAACAACTAAAACAGAAAAAAGGCATCACCTGTGCATTTCCACCTGCTGTACCTCTAAACATGGCGCCTGTACCCAGCTCTGCCGTGTCAGTTTAATATCGATTTCCCTCCCACTCTGTATAGAGCTGCACAGCGCTGGCTTTCTCCTTATTTAACACCTGAACTTCTATTGTTCGCGGCTGCAGCATTGCTAATAATTGTATAGAGGGCCCGGCCTGTGTGTTATATAGAAATATATAGAGGTACCTGTACCTTGTACAGGTTGACAACAGGGTTGTGTAAAACTTGCGATAAACACTGTAATTATCATAAATCTGTCACATCTTGATGGATTATATAACTAAAAAAGTTGGCCTGAACTTTAGTATCAAAATGTTAAAACAACTTTGAACCGTCATACAAAGAAAGAAAGACGGGTGGATGCAGATCAATTATCAAATGTAGAAGACGGAAAATATTGGGTGTTAAAGTTATGGTTAAGTTTTCGGTTGTAAAGCCGTACGTGTAGATAAAACCGATTCTCGGATCCTGTTTCTGAAAGGGTTTTCAGTTCTTCGCTAAGGGAAGGCTGCAGAACTGAACCGGTACAGATTAGTCATTACTATATCACGGCATATTATTTACACGTACATGTACCGTGTAGTTTTCCATAATAAATATTGTAAACCACTAAGCTGCCTGTGGTCGTCCCTCGATTATAACCTCTTAGTGCAACCTGACCTCAGAAGTCATACAGTGCAATAGCATGTGCCAGTAAATGTGCTTGAATTTTTAGTGGTTGATTAAAATATGTGTTATGGTGTGGACTCGCGGGATCTCTGCGACGTCGCTCAGCCTAATACCACTACATGTATACCCGTACGCTGTTCAATTCCAGGCGACCGACTACGCTATGAGAGACTGGCGTAATAGGGACAATATTGAAACAGTAGTGAAATTATCGTAATAATAATGACATAATTTAAAGAAAAATCTTAATACAGTGCAAGTGTCCCCGAGTAGGAAGCCTAATGTAACGTCTGTTTTAACCAAGGTCAGACTGGGTTCCCATGTCTAACTCCCTGGGGAGTCTCTCTAAATTGCTGTCAACTTGACCGGCTTAAATGTCTGTTACGCCTTGTAAACCTGTTAAGGGGTAATTATCTTTACCCCCTAGCTGATTCGGTCCAAGTATGCAGTAAGTAGGTAAACTCTTTTTCCTTTTTATAGTGAGGTGCTACATAAAAGGGAAAAAGACTTTACGTAACTACTGCATGAAAGACGCGAAGCGTTTAAATGTGACGTAGGTAAAAACGTTCCAACATACCCGCCTAAATATTCGTTCATTGGGAAATACAAAAGATAGCGTTTTTCTTTGGTTGCAGTGCGGTTGCAAAATGAGGTTTTACAAAGATGTTTTTTCTATTATGAACAACATATTTTAATAGGCGTTAAACAAAAAAGGACCCTTACCGAAATACATTTTCCTGTAAATCTCGCTACTGTTTTAGAGAACTAGACTCTGATGACGTCATCAATGCCAATACACACTGAGAGGAGCCTATTTTCAGCCTTCCCATGGCTGACCTGACACGTGTCAAGACGTGATCTGACACTGATCTTGTGCCTTTGTGTTTCCATCACCCTGAGCTTCAGAGATAACTTGACACTAACCTCTTCACTATAGCCTATCTTCATCGTGTCAAATTACCTCTGACGAAAATAGTTTGACCTAGTTTATATAAGCCAATCGAATCCATGTTTCAAAATTTTTCANCTCTGGTTTCAATTCCGATATACTCCATGCTTTCTTTGTGTACGGTTATGCACTCGGAACTACTCGGATGTCTCCGCACTCGACAATAACTATGTTGTTAGTATGGAGCTTGCGGAATCAGCCGAGGATTGCCGATTGATGGTCAACCAATCAGCGTTTTCACCAAACTTTGGTGAAAAATTTTGAAACATGGATTCGATTGGCTTATATAAACTAGGTCAAACTATTTTCGTCAGAGGTAACTTGACACGATGAAGATAGGCTATATAGTGAAGAGGTTAGTGTCAAGTTATCTCTGAAGCTCAGGGTGGTTTCCATGGGCTGCCATATTACAAATACAGAGGCTTTTTTGTTGTTGTTGTTGTTGTTGTTGTTAAAGATAC